AGATACATTAATCATGTGATGGTCAGATCTTAACTTGAAATCTAAAGTAAACCTTGAATATAGGACAGAACATGTCTTTCCCTGCTGGCAGAAGTGATAGGGGGTTCTCATTCAAATTTATGAAATCACTGAGGCATCTTTTCAGTATTCAAAAACAGTGAAAAAGAAATACACTCTCTTCTAAAACATCAATCTTGAGGAGATTTTCAGTTAGGGGAAATAAACTCTTTTAAAAAGCACAACCCATGTGTGTTGCCCACCTCCTCCTCTAGCTTACAGAAGATTGTAAGATGGAGACATCTAGATACTTGTGTCATCCTTAGACTAAATGGAATTTCAGCCTGTTTTCCAGATAGAATTGTTTGCAAGAGGAGACAATGAAACCGACAGGATGATAGACAACAGACGTTTTTTTCTAATTAATATTATTATGCTAGATATTTGTTTACACAAAATTCAATTTTCTGTCTCCTTATAACCAGCTCATAATTTCAGAACATTATACAGTCTTCCAGATTTCTGTTGCATGCTCTGTGTTTTCAATTTGCATAGTCCAATCAAATCCTTCTGCTTAGTACAACTGGTGTTTTTTTTTCCCTAAATGGGGCAACCAAACAATGGCAGAATTAGAAAGAGGTTTGATAACTCGGTTTGTATCTTCAGTGTTCTCTGCTCCCAGCCCCAAATTATCTGTAACTCACATGCTCCACGGAAAAGAGAAAGAAGGGACATTTAGAGTTAGGCTGTTTTCAGATTTGTTTCAGGATAGAAGGGGGACTTTATGGGTTACAGATGTGCTTATTTGATGGTTTCCTGGCTCTCTGCAGCTCTGCCATCCCCGAGCTTTCAAGTCTGCCATTACACAGCAGCGGGTGGAGCTTTTAGAGAACTGCTCCAAGCTGTGATATGATCGCTTTAAAACCCCAGCGTGGTCTTCATGTTTTTGTTGGAGATTGGCCTTCTTTTATCATAGAAGCCCGTATTTCATGTTCTTGTTCCTGTACTGCATGTTTTATCTTCTGCATAGCTGAAAAGTCATACGTGACATTTTCACATTGTTAGCAAAGAGTCAATTCTCATAGCTATGATGTCATCAAGGGGCTCTAATTCATTGCTGTAACATTATAGCAATGAAATACAAGCTTTTTCAAAACTTAAGTGAATCCAGGGCAATCTCTGCATCAGTAAAAGTGTGTAACGAGGCATGCAGTTAGTGCTGATGATATTTGATGCCAATGTATTTCATATGCCATTTGAAACCCAAACCTAGAAGTTACACTGCTCCAGAAATCCAGATGTACAGGGTGCCAGTGTGTCAATAGCTCTGCTATAACTTCATTACTGTAACATTCCCAGGTTTCACTCAAAACTTACATTTCACTGTAGCAGGCACTGTCAAAACGTGGTCTCTGCCCCAAATTGCTTACAGTCACTCTCACCAGGTGAGTTGCTCTCACCAGGTTTTGTACCGATGCTTTTAAATGGAGAAGTGAAAAGGTGAGTAGGGAGCATTTTATCTTAATTTTGACTGTATAGATTAATTTCAGTGTTTTTCAAAGCTCCTCTTTCTACCCTGCCAATAGATTCTATCCACTCTTCTTTTCCAGGACCCTGGTGAAACCCTCAGTCTTCTCAAAACCTCCTGATCCTGAGCCCTTCCAGAACTCCTGGGAACTTGTCAAGGCTGCAGCAGGTGCCCAGCTCACCAACTGACCATGGAGTTACATGTCACCCTCATCCTCTGCTTCTCCTCCATGCAGTTCTATCGCTAGCACTCCCATTTGACTGGAGTTTCTAAAGATAATAACTTTTTAGAGATGGATGTTTTTTATGAACATCCTCTCATTATCTGCATGAAGAGAAACGTCCTCTAGACAAAATCCATATGTGGAAAGAAATGCATTGTCCCAGTCAATTTCTGGGAAACAGAACAGCAACAAACTAGAACAGGATGAGAGAAGGGGAGAAATACTGTCATCATGATGAGGATGCTGAACTGAGGTATTCTTAGTCTGCTTGGGGAAGCTCCTTACACTGAGATAAAATCTTCTTTTTCTTCTACGCAAAATCTTCTCATGATTCCAGTAATGAAAACGCAATACTCTTTGCCATAACAAAGCTCAGGCTCCTGAGTTACAAGAAATCAGAACAGGGAGACCCTGCTGCATTTTATTTTTAAGTTTCATCCTGAGGAGCACTGGTATTTATTTTGCTGAATGAGCAGCATATGGAAAGTTGTGATTTGAGGAACAGCGCTCTGCACAATCCCTGGTTAACTGACTGACCAAAAAAAGCATCTGGAAACCACCCGCCTTGAGTCACAATGAGTACATTTCTCTGGGTTTCCTTGGAATGTGCTAGAATACAAGGGTATATTCCCATTTTGATGATGAGGGATTTGTTGTATCACACTCCTTTCAAGTGTTAATGGGAGTCACATGCTGAGCTGCTTAGGAATGTAGACAATGGTGTAGACTAGTTCATGTAAAAGCACTTAAAATGCATTAGTCCTTTCCTGAAACTGGGAACTTGATTTTGACCTCAATCATTAACTCATCATTGCCTACATGACTTGTGTGTTTTGGGGCAGTAACTGATTTCTGAAGTGCATGAAAGATATGCATGTTACTGTTCGAATGACTTTAGAGATGTCTTCTTGTTAGGTTTTGGTCTCCACAAAATGTAATCTTTCACTTACTGCAGTAAATAAGAGCTTGAATGACCTGCACCAGGAATGAAGAACGGGTTAAAAGAAGAACAGCATGGTCTAGGAGTGTGTAGCTGGCAAATTTAAAGAGTTACTCCAGCAGTAGTATCCTAGCAGCCAAAGACATGATGGTATTCCAAAGGGTATTTACACTATTACACAGACATTATTTAAATAATTTGTTATTAAATAACTTGTTTAAAATGATACACGAGTCCTTTCATAAATGCAATTTTTAAACATTTTGTTTCAGGAGTTATTCAATGATTTCTCACAGTTAGTCCCTCAGCACTCAGTGTGACTTGCCCGCCTCTTCTTTTGGAAGCCCACTGAAGAAGGTGCACACTGTCCCTTTGGGAAAGTGGTTTCCTCTAAACTTTCAATGTATTTCTAGCTTTCCTTCTTTATATTGGTCTAAGCTCAGAAATGGCCCATTAGTGCATTGAATGGCTCAACTACACTTACTCACACTGTCTGAACTGCAAAAATATTTGCCTGTATTCACCCACAAGTAAGGAGAACACGGCATAAAGAGTGGAATTAATTTATATTACCACGAGGTTGTGTTAAACGCATGGCTTAAAAAATTCTCTCTGACTTAAAAAAAATTCAGTGGCCTTCAGCAGAGCAGACTTTAGGGGAGGAAATCACAGGCAGGACAGGTCAGTTTTTTAAAGCCATTAAGTAGCTTTAGTATATGTCAGTGAGAATGTGCAGTTTAGAGATAAGACTCCCAGTATATAAAGTTGAAAAGCCCTGCACCTTAACCTTCCTTCTACTTAGCTGAACTGTTTATGAATTTCAGGATAATTTTTGCTGAGAAGGGAAAAAAAAATAGATAGGTTAAATTTCTCTATCTGGTTGTAGGTATTAAAGAACAAACTAGCTTTTTGAAAGACCAAGCTTTCTAATAATGTGCTTGCCCTTCGATTTATAGGGTAAATGCGTCTGGAGTTCTCAGTTGTGTGTTTGAATGGTGTATGCTTCTCACTATTATCCTATACCACCAAGTGATTACCAAGCAATTTTTGAAACTACCATTTTGAAACTATAATTCAGCTGATGTTCAGCACACTCAGATGGAACCAGACCTCTAAGATCTATAGGAAGCCCATCAAAAATATCTAGTGTCTATTTTAATCACTCACATTTCCAATTGTTAACTCTGTTTGCAAACTAGTGAGTACCATTCTGTATTCTACTATATTGAATGAGAAATTTTAAATACTATTAGACAAAACCATTCAGCACAACCTGTTTCTAATTACGCTCTCGTATTTCCTCTTAATGAACAAAAACCTCCATTCTGTGCATTGCCTGTTAACCTCTGGAAAGGTCAGTGCTTTGCTCCTGCAATATAGCACACTTTTTCCCTTTCCATTCAACAGTCATTATTTTCTGTCAGGCAGGATGTTTCTTGCCCAGGCTGGTGCAGAATCAGACCAACCCTTTTCATTCAGCTTGGATATTTTAAGGCTCAAGGAGAATTAATTTAGCCTAGCCTCTAATGCAATACTTGCCACAGAAATTCTCTTGGTTACTGGTCCTTCGACTGCCAGTTTGGAGACTGATGAAGGCACATTTTCCGTAAAAGCATCCACCCAGCCTTGGCTTGAAGATCTAAAGCCACAATAGAGTAAGGATTTGAATTCCGGTATTTCCAGTCCTATACAACCTGGTATTACTTTCATCAACAAAGCTCTAGGAAACATCAGTAATTATTTTTCTGCCTTACCAGGCAGCAAAGGCAGGTTTGTCTCTCTCCTTTTCTTATCTGACAGGATTGGAAGAAAGCATAAATTAAACATCGCAATCTGATGTGTCCCCACATTGGGTTTATGGCACAGCACAGAAGCAAGAACTAAAGCTATTAGAGGTTTCTGAGTGTTGATGCCTTGATCAGGGCAAGCATGTCTCCAAAGATTACTCAAAGTTCCTCATTGTTTTGGATGCTCTCCTCCTACCAAAAGAAATGAAAATTGGGCATCTAGATGTCTTTGAAAATCACTGTGCAAGCCATTAAGCTTCTGGCTCCTGCTCATAAAATCAGATGTGACATAATGGAATGTGTGTTCATCAGTTACACATTAGTTTTTCATGAGGTTTAAACTGGCTTCAGTTTTTGAAATCAAGGCGTCTGTTCCATCACTGTTGATATTAGAGAATTTTCTACTTGTTTTTCACCAAAGCTCTTACTCTGCCTGACTTGCAAGGCAATACAAAGAAACTCCAAGAGCATTTGCAAACATGAGTTTGTTAATACCAGTAGTGATTCATCCTTAAACAACAACAGATAGTAGCAGGCAACCAGGCCTTCAATTATTAACTAAAGAGGTGGAGTTGACCCTATGTTTGTGTGTGGTAGAAATGAGACAGTTCATTGAGTGCATAGGATCAGTCTGAGAGAAAAGCAGTGCTCTCATTGCCTTTTTCCAATGATAGCCAAGAAATTGTAATGGTGCAGCTGCTGGGTTTCTGGAATATATGGGCTTTGCTCCCACCAGAGGTGGGAGTCCTCCCATGGATGGCAAAGCCTTGAGCACCCCTAGGTCTCCTCACTCAATGTGTATCGGAAAGGAGGGTATAAAGAGGATGAGGTCAGACTCTTCTCAGTGGTGTCCAGCAATAGGACAAGAAGCAATAGGCACAAACTGAAACACAGGCAGTTCCTTCTGAACATGAAGAAAAACTTCTTTACTGTGAGAATATATCCTTGTGGACGTTGAAAAGCTATCTGGACACAGTCTCATGCGATGTGCTCTAGATGACCCTCCTGGAGAAGGGGGGTTGACCTAGATGATCTCCAGAGGTCCCTTGTTTACCATCTATGGCTCTTTTTTGTCAGGGACTTGGTTCCAAACCTAGCTGTCCATTTCCAATTGAGATGTCCCTTCCTGCTGCTACTTGAGAAAGACACGGGAAGATAATGCACACACTCATCACCTCGATAACAGGTCTCAGATTTCACTATGGCTTGATTTCCAGGATGTAGGTTATCATATCCGCAATTTCTTCCCTTGATATACCTCAGTCACAGTACCTTTGCTGCTGAAATTAGAGACTGGGAGACAGAGCTTGTCAGGGAAAATCTGCTTTCCAGCGAAAGAAAAGGGACTCTCTAGAAAGCCAGGAGAGCCACTGCCTCTCCCCATCATAGCTTGCTGCTATCCCCTATGTTCATCCTCGAAGGTAGCATCAAGGACAGCAGTCACCAAAATAACTCTCTTCTACTTACCTCCACTTCTTTCTCAAAGTAAATCTTCCCAAGAGCTGCAAAGCAACTAATCATTGTCAAACCTGACAAATGGGGAAATTTGTGGTACCTGGGTGCAAAATGGGGCATAGGGGACCATAAGCAACACAGCGTGTTTCCAAAGCCCTAGTAAGCAGTTTGCATTCATATGCCTCTCCTCAAGAAGAGGACTTTCCTTTCCCTTTTTCACACATTTTATTTTATTTATTTTATATTTAGCTTAATTAATAAACACAGCCCTCAAAGAACTGAAATGGAAGCAACATATGAAATAAGAAAGTTGGCTTCCCTGTTGGCTCTGGGGAATTAGAGCTGCTCAGCACTTCCAAGGTAGGTGTACAGCAGCAACACAATACTTGTAGGAAGATTTGCTCACAGCTAACCTAATACTTAGAAATGTTTTTTCTTCTTTTTTTTTCCTTCTTTCAGATTTCTTGTCTATCAGCTCTCTTTGGACACAGAGCTTACAGATGAGTCTCAGAGAACAGATAAATCTGTGACTGGACTATGCAAGGTCTGCCTGTGATGAAGGGTGGCATTACATGGTGGATTTGCATCTCGTGTAGAGCTAAATGCCAGAGCTGACACTAGGTTTACAGCGGAGATGTTTAAACTAAAAAAATTAACATGCCAGTGATAACATATACTAGAGTGCTATTTAATTAAACTTGGAGACTAGGAATATTATCTTGATAGGAAAGACTTAATGAAGGAAGCTTTGGAAGAGTGTATCTCTCTAGTGCCTGACAACATTCACATTTCACATACCTGGAAGGTATTTTTCCCTAAATACATACATTTATGTTTTTTTGTCCTGTACATTCATCACTGGCATTGAATCTAACAGAGTTTCACCTGGAATTAATTTAGCCTCGACCGTAGAAGATTCTGTTGCACATGGGTCCTGCATACGTTACTGAAATGACGGTACAAAGAAAGCGGCACAGAATGTACTCAGCAGCCTGACTGCCAGAGGTGTGGCGGACGGGCAGGTCCCGTTTCAGGCCAGCGGGACGTGGCGGCTCAGAGGCATCTCCTCTTCTGCATTCTAAGGCCTGAACAATTTATCGTGAAGTTATTGGAGGTTTTTAGTGGCGCTACAAAAATTAAATTCAGAACAATGAAAACATCAGTTCATTAATGGAACAGTTCCAGCCATCTGGCATTCATATGTTCTGTGTTGGGGCTGTTATTGTGCAGATATAAATGACCCAATTTTACCTTCAAGTGAGACCTTTCATTAACTAAACATACCCAAATTCTTTACAGTTCAGCTAGTATTATAGGTCCCATTCTGTGTTTTGGGTGGCTTTTTTCAATTTTATTTAGTTAAAGCTTTAGTCCCGAGACATTTCTGCGCAGATATGTGCATTCTCCATCCTACTGTAACCACAGCATCTCTTGGAAAACTCTCATTAGAAAGTTAGAGTTCCAAAGCCCCAGAAGACAAATAAGAGGTGAATAACATTTTAGTGAAAATACTAAAACTTATGCATTAGTAATAAATCCTATTGCTTATACAAAACGCGAGGAGGCGGCCTCTTGCCTTCATGCTCCCCACAAAATGTGAGCCAAGCACAGGATTCAGGAACAGCGCAGGAATGACAAACTTCTAGCTACCAGCTATGCAGGACTGGGGCTAGCTCAGGTCTGAGCAACATGGGACCTGGGAGATCAAGGGAGAGAGACTTTGCAAGGAAAAAAAAAAAGCTGCTTTTTGACTTGAGAAATTTCCAGGTTTCAGAGGAACTCATGGTTTGTAAGACACTATACGCTGCTGCTTTAACTATGTAGCAGGAGGCCAGGCCAGACTGAAGCAGGGCAAAAACAAAGGTATAGTGGCTTTAGGGATAAGGCTGCTTTCTTTCACTGCGACACCTGATGTGTCTGAAGTTGCTCAGGGGAACAGTGTGTTTTCCGAATGTGGGTTAATTTGTTATTTGCTCAAATTCCTCAGCATCCTGCTCCAAACAGCTCACTTAACACATGAGCACTGGGATTCTGATATTAAATATATATCAAATGAATAAAATGTCCAACTCCAGAGACCAATTTATTCTGCGTGGATTGTTGTAACTGCTTTTCATAACGTAACACATGCTTTAGCAATGCGTTATGGACTGTAATATTTTAGGAAAGAAGAACATTCTTTAAAGCTTAGAAGGCCATTTCATCTGGTCAATAAAAAGCACAAATTGAAAATATTTTTCAAGCTCTCTAGTAATTCCTATCTCAGATAATGCTTAGGCTCACCATTCTTTTATTCAGTAACATAATATTAATTGTGGTCTTGTCTGAAACTTTCTTTATAGAATCTACTGCATCCAAAGATATAGCACATTTCCAATCTTAAATGAAATTATCCATTGCTAAGTGGAACTCCACTGCCATTTATGTTGCATAAGACTGAGTGAAAAGACATCTTAACTCTAAATTCCTTGATTTTTTTTTATTGAAAGTACTGGAGGGACTTTCAGGTCCAGAGTGAAAACAGCTTAGAAGTCTAAAGAGGTCTAAATTTTCATGGCCTTTATGGCTAATTATCCAAACAGTGAGTTGAAACTGTATCAGCAGTTATAAGAAGTAAATATAAATGCACTAATGTGTGTACAAGTTAAACATGTTTATTATTTGAATCTCTTCACAAAATTGAGTACATGGAACTTGCATGGTTTATTCTTGAAAGAGATATTTTTCCAGATTGCAAAATGTGAAGACTACTTCCCTGTCTAATCTGATTCAATACATCTGTTTGTGATTATATAAATACGTTTCAGATTGGAAGGCGGTGTGGCCTGGTCTACTAGAAATAATATTCATCAAATTTCATTGGACCATGTGATCTTCCCTGGCCCTTAAATATCTGCCTATTCTTAAGACTTGTAGAAGATTCCCTGTATTTGGTAGTTAGAGCGAGTGTGAGAGACCAAGATTTTGATTATATTACTCTTGAATAGTCACTCTTTCAGGACTGCCCAGATGTCTCTGAAGTTGCTATGAGAAGTCAAAGTAATTGAAAAATTATTAGTGCTTTAATGATATCATTTCAGCAAAGCATGGACCGGAAGTAATTTTCTTAATGTACACCATTGTTTTGTCTTCATATAGCTCTTTCTCAGACATAGAAAAGCCTTTGTCCACAGGCATATCTAGCACTGCTGTTTTCCCTCAAGAGTCAGTAGTTAAATTCACTCCTCAGAAGATCCAGACCAGCAAATCTGGGTAACCATCTCATGGAGACCCTGTTTTTATGGAGGCTAAGCAGTGGCAAAGTCCCACTTTGCAGCTGCAACAGCTGTCCCCACAAAGCATCTTCACACCTTTGCTGTCCCACTGAAACACTCTCCTGCATGGTCAGGGTGATCGGTCTTTCCATAGCAGATGCAGGGTCTGTCAGCTTATCCTTCGCATGAAATTTCGACTATTTTTTATGTTTTTATTGTTACTGTGATATCTGTGTGACTGGCTGAGCACAGAATAGAACTGTGTTTCAGACTCAAAAACAGAGTAAAATAATCTCACTAATGAAGCTATTTATGGTAGAAAAAAGTATTGCCACAGCATTGGATGAATCATTTTTAGATTAAACACTTCTGAAATGGTGAATCATACAAATGACCCTAAGTCTATTCCATCAGGAGGACACATGTGCCATTTAAGTGTACAATTTAAAGTATGCAGTTATTGTCCAGATGGATGCAGCCTGTGCATAGACAGGGAGATCTCAAGACACATTTTGGTAGCTGGCCTGCTAAATACTTAACAAGACTTATCAGCATATTGAACCCCAAGCTCTGTGCTGAAGCACAGCACAGAATATAGTAACAAGACACAAGTTGCATCTGCTCACGTTGTTATCAAAAGTTTTTCTAGTAACAAAACCGTGAAACATCAGTAGCTATTGAAGCCAGAGTCATGACAACGTTGATGGTGCCCTGACATAGAGCTGACTTCAGGAGAATCACCTCGGCCGATTTCTGTTTCTTTAAGAAACACAGGAAAAGGAGTTTTAATGGCTTTCCATTAAAATGTTATTTTTTCTGTTGTTGTT